CATGTGATATAAATAAACTGAGTGGGTCAGGTTGGGAAACCTGGTGAGTACATAGGGTTTTCAACCCACAATAAATAAGTTTATTAACTTTATCAAACCAAACAAACCCGATTACCCATTCCCGTTATCCTCACTTTACGTCCCTAAAACATCTAACACAAGGGACCTAGTCTAAGGGACTTTCATCGGGGTGACAACACATGCTTCGGGGGTTCCTCAGCAATTCATGTCAAATAAGGCAACCATGTGGGGGATGGAGTACTGCTGGTGAGCACACAGTTCAAATAAACACCTACAGGTTGCGAGCCTGCTAGCGTTCCACTGGACTGTCTAGAATAGTCCGTGGTCGTTATCTATACTCCGCTAGATGACTGGATCATCAATAACATCTATATCGATGCCTCTCATTATTTTATTTGGTCACACAGCAACTATTACATCTACCCATGTTTTACCCAACACGTTTTGTAGATATAAAATACATATACAATTTAAATCATTTAAAACGTGTATAAAAATATTTCACCCAGCATAGACAGCAAGTATTCAGACAATATGCACACATAGCACGTAATTTATATAAAATACTTCATATCTATGTGTAAGATGAAAGGGACCATGCACTCACTTGAAAAGGTGGTGATTCCGAACTCAGACAGCGCTTCGCTTCTTAAAAAATAATTTCCTTCGACGAAACCTAGTATTATTACCACTAGAGTTTAGTATATTATTCGCCGAGACTAATTAATAGTCTAGCTATTATTACTATTATATAAGCGTAAAAAAATACTTATATAACCCATAATAATAGTCCAAGTACTTATTATAAGTTCCTAATAACGTTACTATAATTAAATAAAAGCTATATTAAAAATAGCGTAGGTGTACCTCACTTACAACGGGTTTTATAGAAACCGGGCTTTGCTTGGAGCAGCGTTCCCGAGCCGAAAAACTCTTCTTCTCGGAGCCGTCGAGCACTCCGGGGCTTCCGCCTCGTGCTAGGGAGGTTCCCTAGGCTTTTCGGGGGGTTTCGGGGCTAGAGAGAGGTTCTAGAGAGAGAGTAAAGAGAAGAAAGAATGGGAAATGTGTGAAGAAAATGAGGGTGGGAGAGGTTCTATTGATAGGGTGAAAAATGGCTGAACTTGGTGTCACATGTCACCATCTAGTGGCAAGACTTGGGGAGAAAGCAATGGCCAAGATTGTGCCACATCACCCATTTTCGCACAACACACTTCCGACTTCTAAAATCTGTAACTTTCACATATGACCTCCGTTTTTGATGTTCTTTATATCCACGCGTAGATAAAAATAAGATCTACAACTTTCATTTTGACTCCGTCGGCTAATTCTCGACCGATCTTAAATTTAACAGTACGAGGAGATTATACTGTTAAATGTCCGCGTAAAATTCATAACTTCTACATACGGACTCTGTTTTCGTTTGTCTTTTTACCGTTGAGTTCCTATTAATGAGATCTTCAATTCTCATTTAGGTCGCGTAGGCCAAAAACCGCTCGGTCTAAATTCGAGTTTCGGACTGTGCACTGTTAAGCCAAATCTTAGAAAATTCATAACTTCCTCATACGAAGTCAGATTTGGGCGTTCGTTTTTTTTGTATGTTCTCGGTTTAACGTATACTACAACTTTTGTTTAGATTTCTAAGACTAAAAAGTCATCCGTCGTAAATTCACTATTTACGTCTCCCGGTGTCGTGCCGGTTTTGCCGTAAAACTTCGACGGACCATAACTTATTCGTTATAACTCGGATTTCAACGTTCTTTATATGTACGGAACCCTTGAGACGTATTCTACAACTTGGTTAAGATTATTTATTCTAAATAATCTTTTGTCAAAAAGTCGTTTTCAACCCCTATTATCTCTAAATTGACTAGCCCGGATCTCCGGGCGTTACAGATAGTACATTTTGTATTGATACTCATTTTCACTCTTTTTAATACAATCTCACATATGCCGCATCGATACATAAATTAACCTACTAGAAATTAATTTATTAATTTATGTGATCATTTTCTCTATTAACTTATTCCAAATCTATACCCTACTTAAATACATTTGTGAACGGCTTGTCATAAGCTGTTTACTGTTTATTTTCTGGGTTTTGCTATTTTATGCCGTGATATAGGTTATAAACACAGTTCTTCGTTTTAAAACATATAATTATACTTGGCTTAGTGGTTTGTAAATAGTTATTCAAAGGGGAGGGTTTGTGTTCTGATATGCTATTGCATTTCTCTTTTTCACTTCTCTTATCCATTTTTTTTACATAGACTGATACACCCCTTTTATTTACCTTTTGTTACAGTTTTAGCCCAACATCTATTTTCTTGACGAATTTGAATTATCTTTCTTAAGTTTTAGTCTAATTTCGAGTTATTTTTAGAAAAATGGTCCACATTTTATTAAAACTATTTTTTACAATTTCCTTCAAATTTATTCTTTAACCTTCTTGTACAATATTTATGTACTTTTTTGAACATTTTTTTTAATGAGAGCATTATAACCAATGTTGTTAAGATCAAGATCCTACGTAAGATTGTTTTTTGGTTTGCAGGATCGGGATCGGGATCCTAAGATCCCACAAAATAAAACATAATTTTAATTTATAATTTTAAAACATGAAAAATATTTCAAACATTCAATTTTTAATTTAAAAGTTATAAAAAACTTCAAAATGTTAATCATAAGTCACAACACAAAATGATAAACGGTAAATTGGCAAATGTTAAAAATATAAAATGGTAAAAAAAAATTAATAAAAAAATCAGGGGAAAGTAGGATTGGATCGGATCTCGATCCTACCTACAATCTTACTATCCTACCTACGATCCTACCCTAAATACAATCCGATTCGTTTTTCATATCTAAGACCGTACGATCCTACGATCAGGATCGTAATTTTGACAACCATGATTATAACATTTGTTACAAAATTTCTCCAACTTTTTTCTCAATTTTGTTTCCTTATACTTTTTATAAAAATATTTTATACTACTTTAAGAGGGTGTTATTTGTTACACTAATTACGTGATTTTTACTTTTTTTTACAACGTTTTTTATGAGATCGTGAAAACACTTCTTACAATTTTTTTCTACATTTTTTTTTTAATTTTCCTCCCTTACATTTTTTTTATATTTCATTTCACCCCTTTTATTTTCACTCTTTGTTTATAATTGCACCTTCTCTTTTCTTTAATCGCCAACGCCTATAATTTTTAACTTTTTGCAATTTAAGTCCTCGTACTAAGCTTGCTATCATCCTTATACTTTATAAAATGACATTTTCAACCTTTTACCTTTTAAAATGTTATATTCACTCCTATACTTAAACTTTAAAAAAAATATCAATTTCACCCATTCTATTTTCTTAACTTTTGTTTTATCCCTCGTAATATATATAATCTGATTTACCTACAGTTACCACTCTTCTGATTTTCTAACCTTTTGTATGCATCGGTATAAATTAGAGGTGGTCAACGTTTCGACGTAAATTTAGAACTTTAGTTCGTTAATTAAAAAAAATACTTTGTGTTTTTTACGTTCAGTTACTAATATTTATGTACGTTTTGCATATAATATGGTTTTGGTTATCTCTTCTTGGCATGGCTTTGACCATTCATTATTGTGGTTTGCCAACTTAAGGCTTTCAAGTTCCTGTTCAAAATATAGCAACTTACTTTCTACTACTTCTCGAATACAAAACTGCCGCCGCAACACGCGACGGGTAAAATCCTAGTTATTTTCTAATTAACAACTTTTCTTTTAACTTTTTTTGTTTAATATCTTTACATTTTTTTTAAATTCATCCATATATTTTTCTTACAAAAATTTACCTACTTTTTCCATTTTTTTTTTATGTTAGTATTTTCATAATTTTTTTGTGGAACTTTTGCAATTTTTTTACTAATTCATTTTTAAAAATATTTTTTTACATAATTAAATTTCTTGAACTTTTTTATATCTTTGTTTTGATACATATTTAAAGATTTTTTCATTTCAAAAAATTATATTGTACATTGCAATTTATGAAATATATATACATAAATTTTACCATCCGATTTCGAAACAAATGTTGTTGTAATCTTTTTTATGAATTAAATTTTTTTTCTCAATTGTTAGAGTTTATTTTTTTTTATCAAATTAAAAAACTAAAAATATAGAAATTGATAAATTTTTATTCTCTTTCCATTGCTATCAAATTTGATATAATTTTTTTTTTTTTTACTTTTTTTGATCTGTTCAGATTCCTTGTGAATCTAGTGCGTATTCACAGTGTGAATCTGAAAAGTTCAAAAAAGTAATATATATATATATATATATATATATATATATATATATATATATATATATATATATATATATATATATATCGAATTTGATACCAATGGAAAAATGATAAAATGTTATGAATTTAGATATATTTAGATTTTTTTTCGATAAAGAATACGATCTAGAACTTGAAAATATAATGGTTTTAAGGTTTAAAATGATTTCTTGTTAAACTTTTATATATATATATATATATATATATATATATATATATATATATATATATTTGTTCTGAGTGTGTGTGAAATGACACTTTGTCTTTTGTACGGAAGTCGCCTCAGCTTTGCTATATTCAATCAATATTGTTACAAGATTGAAATAGCATCAATCTCTGATACCCCATGTGTATTTCTTCCTCCTTTCGACTTGACTGATTTCACCACACAACACAGTGCGTTTGCCATTTCACCCTTCAATTGTAGTAAAACACAATCATCAAACACTTTGCTTCTTCTGTCAATTTCTGAGGTAAATTTGTGTGTGTTTGTGTTTTACCTTTATTCGTCAAAAGTTAAAGTTAAAGTAGATGATGATGAACAGATGATAGGGATGTACCTCTGCTCGTCTACTTCCCTTTTTCTTTTTTCTTGAAAACCAACCACACGCACTATTCAAGTAGCTAGATTTTGTTCATATGATTTCATAAAATATCGCCAAATTATGTAAATAATAATGCCACCAACAGACATGATCACATGAGTCATGACTTGCCCCTGAACTCTTCAATCATTTTGTACAAATAAAAATAATGAAAACTGCCAAGATTTTACATTATACAATACTACACTCCATACTCAATCAAGCAAGAAACTTACAAAAGGTGGGGTCCAATCTACCACACACCTCATTTTCTACTTTTGAGTTGGCCAACCCTTTTCCCCAAACTCAATTTACAACTTTTGATGCACGGGTTACAATTTGAGAATTGTGATTAGGGAAAAAGGTTATACCTATCATATCTACTAAAGAACAATCTTAAAGAATACTTTCTAAAGAGGCATATGCTCCTTCTTGATTCATAAGAATATTACAAAAGAAACAATACTCACCATCCCAAATATGCAAAAAAATCACATTTTGCTTTAGCTTTTGCTTATATCGTTATATGCTTATTCCTTAAGAAGACATATTTCCATAAATACCCAACCGGGCCTGACTTTCTTCAACCAATCCATGCTCGCCACATGTCAAAAGCCCTAACTTTTTTTTTAACTAATTTTCATGGTTTGTTGATGCATTCATTATCCAGTGATATCCTCCCGGATCCACGGCCCACCATTTTCCCGAATGAGGGCACACCCGATAAACCCTTGAAGCTACTGCTTCCCTCACTTAAGTTCCGAGGCTTTCTCAATTTTGGCACCTTTGTGGACGAATAGAGGTCAAGGTCAAGGTCAAGATCATGATCAGAAGCATTGACTTTGACTTTGACTTTTGCAACCACCAATTGGGCAATGTTGCTACGGCAAAAGGGACAAACGGGTGCAGTTTGGGATGAAGTTGTTGGGTTGGGCTTGTTGTGGCAACACAAGGCTAAGGTGCATTGAGCACACATTTGGTGCCCACAACCTTGGACCTCAATTGTGCATACTTGGTCAAAGCATATACAACATAACTCCGTTTCACTTTCCTACAAAACAAACAAACTATTCATTTGTTAAAAACTTGAAATACTCGACTTTTCATCCCTCTTGTATGCTTGCAAAATTGGTCAAGGGTTCGAGTCACAACAGTCATAGTGAAGGGAGTTTTAATCCCAATGTGGATTGCACAGGGTTGTGTGGGCTAGCTCAGTTGTTGTTTACTAGAAGAATAACCCTTTTGTAAAAAAAGTATCAAGATTTATGTACTTTTTGTTATTTAAGCAAGAAAGAATCAATGTTTATGCAATTTTTGTTATTTAAGCAAAAACCCATGATCAAAATTGATAATACACGCAAGAAACACCATAAATCACGCATCTTTCCAAAACAAGAATTCCAAAAGGGATCAAGTCAAGAAAAAGATTGACACTAAAGTCAAAAGTCATCAACTATGACCAGTTCAAAGCCAAATTTTCTGTTTTTGCTTTGTCTTTTCAATATTGTTTCTTTAGTCCCATGTTTTTTACTTTCTAAACAAAGTAAGAAGAATGGTAAAATTTAAACAATTTAAATAAAATTACCTCGGAAATAGTATCATCGGTGGATCCAGTATCCTGATGTGATGGTGATTGTACTGTGTACCCTGTACCTTTTAAGATTGTTTTCTCCCTCTCTCTATTCGCTTCCATTAGAGCTTGCTCTAGCAAAGCTTTTGCATCTTGATTAAGCTCGCTAATGAATTTTAATGGCGATGGCCACACTAAAGGCTCTGCAGATGATGGATTTAACAAAGCTGCACACCCTTCGTTGTTATGCTTTAACGCAACCAAATATGGAATTCTCCTGCATTTATTTGCAAAGATCTTAACACCAATCAAGAAAATAATGCTTCAACTTTCACGACACTTCAACACATTACGATTGGAAACTGAATAGTGTACCCAGATGCATCTCTTTGAAGTCGATCTGCACCCCATGCCAATAATTCTCTGATGCAATCCATTGAACCTCCTCTTGCAGCCAAATGAAGCGGTGTGCTACCAGCGAAGCTGTAAATTATGACAAATAGAAAAAAAAAATTAGAAAATACAGACGCTATATATGGTATAAAAGTATATAACTATATATATAAGAGAAGTTTATGTTATATTTGTATATATTCGTACCCATTTCTACCAGTGGATGCGCAGACAAGAGCCCCACTGTCTAGAAGTAAATGAACACATTGTGGACGTCCTTGACGTGCAGCCAAATGCAAAGGTGTTGCCCCTTTACCATCTCTAATATTCACAAATCTTGAAAATCCCCTGAAATCCCCAATTCGATTAACAAAATTTAGTCTTGATTTGGATCTTTTTTGGGTTTTAAAGTACAGATTTTGATGCATGAATTGAAATCTAATAAAGATAAGAGGGACCCACCAAGAAGCAGCGACATGGGAGGTCCGTGCGGCGTAAAGAATGGTTGCAAGACAATCGGAGTGACCATAATAAGCAGCATAGTGCAAGCATGTTCTTCCGTTTAGTGAATCAAACATCAAAATCTGGCAAATTACAGACAAAATTAGCAGCAATTCTGTTTTAAACACGAAAATATCGAAGTGGGAAAGAAAAAAAGGAAATAATTTGACGTACATTAGCCCTGGCTTCAATGAGCTTTTCAACACAACTGATCTTCCCATAGATTGCAGCCAACATTAATGGAGTCTAACGAGGAACGCCCAGTTTTCAAATTAACCAAATTCAGTCAAACTTTTAAAAAAGGGGGAAAAGATAGTTCACATTTATTCAACTGAAACAGGAAACAAATCGATGAGAGCGCAAAAAGAAGACACAATCACACCTTTTTATGACGATTCAAAGCATCGGGATTCACTGATTGATCTTCCAAAAGCAGAGAAACAATCTGAGAAGAAAAACCCCAAATGGCATATGTCAAGAAACCCATTAAATATCACAAAAAATGAGTGATTTACCGAACGATGAAACAAGAATTCAAGAAATCTTCAATTACCCACCTCGATCTGGCCATTGGCAGCGGCTATGTGAAGAGCAGAATTACGATCATAGGTAGTTTGTTGAACGAGAGATGGATCTCTTTCAAGAAGGCTTTTCACAAGCTTCAAATCCCCAAACTGTACAGCAGTGAATAACCCATGTTTCTCTTGCACTCTGCAACTAAGCCCCTGCCCCATCTTTTAATCCTACCTTATAGGGCTTGATTGTCGGGGAGTAGAGTGGCGGAGGTCCACCGGAATCATCCACTACCACCCAGAGGGAGGGATAGGTGGTGGTGTTGGAGGTGGTGAATGAAGAAGGTGGTAAAGCTTTCACATTTAAGCAGGGGTGGAGAGAAATGGGAGGCGTCGGGCAGCACAAGGAAGACAGGGAACGGGCAGATGGGAGGGGTAAAGGCGGGACCTAATCTGACAAACGGGTAGTAGTCAGATATTTTACGGGCAGTTGGTGGATACTCTAACTTCGAGATAAAAAAAATATTAATTAAATAAAGTCCAGTTGTTTGACTGTTTTCGTTACATTTGATCAAATTTTATGGTAACAAATTAGTGCGTTTTGTTGACGGATTATTTTTCCAAGGAGAATTGAAATGCGAAGAAAATGGTGTGCGACAGTGTTTGGTTGATGGAGTAAATTAAAAAAACAACTAAAATAAATAATTCTCATACGTGACAGTGTTTTTAAGGATCAGTTTGGTCTCTTACAGTAAAAAAGGATTACAATTTAATTTGAATGTCACTATACTACTATAGTACCTTTTATGTTTTCATTGCATTTTCTGTATATTAATCAAATAAAATTCTAATCGTTTTTAATCGATTAAAAAAATAATATATTTTTTTTGCTATCCATTATTATCGATCATTCAAATACATCATTATTTTATATTTTTATAATCATCTCATTTTTATGTTTTTTTTGGATAATGACTTAAAAGAGTAACATATTATTGGATTTGTACATATTTGGTCCCTGATTTGTTTTCATATTTTCTCTTTGAACTTGTTTTTGTGTGTAAATTAAATTCTTATTACCGGCTGATGTAGGTTAAGCCGGTCATTTTGTGTTTTACGAGATTTTAAGAAAAATCAAATTAGTTACGTGGCAATTACATGGAATTACCCTCTTCCACCCTTATTTACGAAGAAACCTCATTTACGAAGATCAACGGTTAGGGTTCCATTCTCACCCTTCGTTCTCGATCGGTACCTCATTACTCACTCTTCCCTTCTACCAAAACACCACTCTAATTTCAATGGATGAAAATCAAGCTTTTCCAAAAGTCGATGTACACTATAATGGCACTTTTATGCCTAATCCATTATTGTATTTTGCTCCAGAAGTACTACGACTTAATGAAGATGCAAATGAGTTTGTTTTCTCCGATTTCATTAAATATGTTGAGAAGCTTATCGATTTTCAGTGCAAGCATGTGTATTTCTGTATACCTGAAGTGAAATTGAGTAAGAGGCTTCAAACACTACAAAATGAATATGACTACTCTGAGTTTCTTGAGGTTACAAAGGCTCACAGACATGTGGATGTGTATATTGACCACGATAATGAACCTATATTTGAGTGGATTGAGAAAGAAGAACCAGACCGTGAAGAACTTGAGTATTCAGAAGAAGATGTTGACTCTGTTTTAGAAGATGATGAGAACTGTGAACATGAAGAGGATGACTCTGTTATATCAGGCAAAAGAATCTTCAAAATAACCTACAATGATAAGTTTTTGAACAAGTTATGTCCAATAGTTGATACAGATGAAGAGGAAGACGACAATGAACTTCCAACTGTCTACCCTAGGCATGATGCTACTCAGGAATGGAGGAAGATGAAGCCTGAACTAGGTATGAAATTCTCTTCTCCTGCTGAACTTAGGTCGTCTCTCAGTAACTATGCAGTAGCACATGGATATGCCTTGTATTATGAGAAGAATGACAAGGATAGGTTGCTTGTAAAATGTTGTAAAGGAAAAACACCACAATGCCCTTTTAGACTGTGGGCTTCCTGGATGAGAGATGAGCAAACATTTCAAATAAAGTTCCTTAGAGAATACTATAGTTGCTCAAGGGCATTCAAACTTGGGTCAATTGTTACCTATAAGTGGATAGGGAAACAGTTTGTCACTGATATATTGGAGTCCCCTAAAATGTGTTTGAGGAAGATCAAAGTCATGGTATCCAAGTTATTCAACATAAATGTTAGTGTTGGACAATGTAGGAATGCAAAAAGAATTGCATTGTATGAAATTGAGGGTGATTTGAAGGATCATTATTCCAAGCTGTGGGAATATGGAGCTGAAATTAAAAGGGCCAACCCAGGATCTCATGTTGAATTGTATGTGCAGCCCCAAAGTAATTCTACTGTGGTGTTTGAAAGGTTTTATGTGAGTTTTAAAGGAGTGGTTGATGGTTGGTTAGATGGGTGTAGGAAGGTTATTAGCATAGATGGATGCTTTCTAAACGACATATATAAAGGGGAGCTCATATCAACAGTAGATAGGGATGGAAACAATAACATATACCCAATAGCTTGGGTAGTAGTGAATGTTGAGAACAAGAGTACATGGAAGTGGTTCTTGGACAATCTAATGAAAGACATAGAAAAAGGGGGAAATGGTAATGGAATCACATTGATGTCAAATGGACACAAGGTACATATACACAAATTACCTTTTACACATACTAACATTCCAAATAAATGCAAGGTATAATGGAGGTTGTGAAAGAAAGATGTCCAGAAGTGGAGCATAGGTTGTGTGCTAGGTACATCCTTGCTAACTTCCATAAAAAGTTTAAGGGTGAGTGCTACATAAAACCTTTTTGGATGGCTGTAAAGGCAACTATAATTCATAAATTTGAACTTGCAATGGAAGAGATCCAGAACTTTGATGTAGGGACATATGATTATCTCATTAAAAAGGACCCCAACTATTGGTAAAAGGTTTTTTTAAGTGGGAATGGGATGTGATGCAATGGAAAATGGTGTTTCTGAGAGCTCCAATGTTGTTATTGAAGAAGTTAAAAAGAAGCCACTGATCACTGTGTTAGAGGACATAAGGGTGTTTGTGATGGAGAGATTGTACATGCAGAAAGGGAAAGGATTGGGCTGGAATTTGGCAATCTTTCCAACTATCAGAAAGAAGCTTGGTGAACTAAGAAGTTGAAAAGGTTAGTGACCATATATGTTTTACTTACTTTTTGTACATGCAAGTGTTAACTAACTTTTTATAATGGCAGATTCTGGGCTCCATATGTTAGTGGATACAAACAGTTTGAAGTTGTGCAAGGTAATGAAAGGTATGGTGTTAACCTGGAGAAGAGAGAATGTGGATGTAGAGCTTGGAAATTAACAAGAATTCCATTTGTACATGCCACATGTGACATATCTTCATTGAATATTGATTCAGAGGAATATGTTGCAGAGCGGTTTACAAAATCTGCATTTTTAGGGCCTATGAGTACACCATACATCCACTGAATGATAGTACCTTGTGGCCCCACATGCCTAATGTTCACCAGATACTACCTCCTATTAGGAGGAGGTTACCTGGTTGGCCATGTGTGAAAAGAAAAAGAGACCAAGTAGAAAATGAACTTAATGGGAATACAATACATACTATAAGCATGGCATGTGTTCAACACAGATGTACAATTTGTAATGAAACTGGACACAACAAAGCTACATGTCCAATGAGAGGTCCTTCTGAAGAAGGTCCAAGTAAACCAAGAAAGAACAGTAATGAAAAGAACTGTCATTCACAAGCAGGTCCAAGCACTCCAATACATGTGAATCAAAATCCTATGACTCAAGAGCATGTCAATCAAGAGCCTGTGATTCATGAGAATATCCATGTGAATCAAGTACCTGTCAACCAAGATCCTATGAATCAAGTACCTGTTAACCAAGTGCATATGAATCTTGGTGTTAGAGTGCCTAAGAGCCTTGGTGTTAGAGCAAGGAAGCCTTCATAGAGAATCAACAAGATACAAATCAGGAAGTAGGTTTTTCGAAAGAATGGCAAAGGAGTGACTGAGGACAACCCAGTTACTTTAGAATGATTAGGGTTACTTGTTTTCTTTTGCTTTGGAAGTGTGTAATAGTACACTATGTATGGTGACTTTCTTTTGATAATTGGGCCAACTTTTGATGTAATTAACAATACTACCCTTACTTGTAACCTAACAATTTTTGATGGCCTTTTAGTAATGGAATCGGATATGGTATCCTATGCCAATTGTGTTTTGTCTTTTTCAATCTTTATTGGTACCAATGCATTAGTTTATCAAGAATCTTGTTATAATGGGAATCATATGTCAATTGTCTACTGGGAATCATATTTGTTTATATCAATGTCCTTGTCGTTTGGTTGTTGAAATTGCAGCCAAATTCAATGTAAATTACATTCAAATGTGTACCATGTACCATTTCATTCAATACCAACCCATCATTCAATAGAAACCATTCAATACATTCAAATTACCAAAATTCATACATCATACTAAACTCCATTCAACTATTTTCAGATAATATTACAATTGATTTCAACCCTATAACCATGTATTTTATTCTTCAGCTCTTGAACTTCTTTTTTTTCAAATATGCAACATTCTCTTTAACTGCTTCAAGTTCTTGTTCTAAATCTGGACTCCCAGTTACAGGTTCATCAATCCATTCTCAATGCTTACACTTTTTACCTGGTTTCTTCGAAATCAAATATAAAGAGGGTAAGAAGCTCAATATCTTTATTTATTAGAAGGGAAATCAAATGTACAGAGGGAAATCAAGATTGACATACCAGAGAATTGGGGCAAACTTTGAACTGTTTGTTAGGGTTGTCTTTAGTCTTGGATGTGCATATTCGAACTGGGAGTCGAAAATCACAAAGCTCATCTTTCTTTGCGATGGAACCAGATGAACCTTGCGACATCTTCTTCTCTGATTTTAGGTATGGGTTCAAAAGTTTTTTTGATTAAATTTAGGGCTAGGTATCGTATTATAATCGATGGAACTCAGGGATGATCCACGTAGGAGTATTTTCTTTTAATTATTGTCCACATATGCAGTCATGTCAGCAAATATGGCATCAACCGGTAATAAATATTTAATTTTACACACAAAAACAAGTTCAAGGAGAAAATGTGGACAAAAAAAATCAGGGACTAAATGTATACAAATCCAATAATATGTTACCTTTTTAAGTCATCATCCTTTTTTTTGTACCGACCGCATTAGATTTCCACAACATCCTCTTCTTTGCATTCCGCATACTATCCATGCTTCCGTTTAGAACTAGAAAATTAACCAAAATTTGTGTAGATCATGATATTCCACCAAAAGCATAAAATGTTTCTAACATAACTCAAAATGCATGAATTTACTGCTAAAATACAATGCATGGACATGAAATAAATATGCAAAAAGGATGAATATAATGCACCTAACACCCCGGTATAATGTCACATCCCCGAACCGATAAAATGACGGAAACGTCCGGGGGCGGATGACGTCATATACAATATCATAACAATTGAATAATAGAGATCAAAGCATTACAATCATTACATTGATAAAAGGTATTTACATTGTATTTGAATCATTGTTTGACTCCAAAAGCATACGGCAAAATTATAAGACGTAACAATGCTAAGCTCCGTCTTCACAAAACATGTTTGGTTACGTGTCTACTGACTCACTGAGAATACAAGTGGTTTTGAAAAAGTGTCAACATTTAAGTTGGTGAGCTCATAAGCATTTTGTATCAGAAAGATATGTTTTTGTTCCTTGAAAATGATAGTGTGTTCTTCCAGAAAATCCAATATTTTCTTTAGAAATGAATTGTAGTCTTAAATGTTCCAAGACCGAAATGTACAAGTATTTTCCATACTTAAAATATTAATATGTAGTTTTATTCGTATATAAAACCATTTGTATGCATGTTTCCATAAATGTAAACGGTATTATTCTGGAAAATAGTGTAGTGTAATAATATCTGGCTATTATGATCTGTTAGATCGGTATCCTGGTACATAGGTTGTTATTATGTTGTTATGATATGTTAGATTGCTTTGTCTGTCTATAGATTGTTATGTGATTATCTGATGTATGTACACATGTTTGATTAGTGGTTGAGGCTTATCTGCTTTGTGCGAGAGCCAATAGACCTGACGTTCCAACCCAATGGTTGTGGGCCGTGAGTATTCCATACCGAGGATGATTGAACTCGTAGTATGTGGGCATTCCAACCCGATGGTTGTGGGCCGAGGATATTCCATCCCGTGGATGACTGGACACATAGTATGTTGGCATTCCAACCCGATGGTTGTGGGCCGAGGGTATTCCATCCCGAGGATGACTGGACCCATAGTATGTTGGCATTCCAACCCGATGTTGAGGGCCTGGGGTATTCGAACCCGATGGTTGATTGGACCTAAAGTATGTTGGCATTCCAACCCGATGGTTGAGGGCCTGGGGTTTTCCAACCCGATGGTTGATTGGACCCATAGTATGTTGTTTGTGATTATATGTGTATTGTTATGTGTATGAGTATTTTGGGGGAACTCACTAAGCTTTGTGCTTACGATTTCAGTTTATTGTTTCAGGTGCTTCAGATGTCTCGACAAGGCGAAGGCGTGACCGTATACATCCTCGCGTTTTGGACTTATGGTTTCTGGGACATACTCTAATATGAAACTATTTTGAAAGCATTTTGTAATAACTAATGCCTTTTGGATGTTTGAAAAAGTTTTAAATTGGCTTGATTTTTATGGGTGTTACAGATATACTTAGTTCACTATAAACAATGCTCTGATACCAATCTGTCACACCCCCGAACCGATAAAACGACGGAAACGTCCGGGGGCGGATGAAGTCATGTACAATATCATAACAATTGAATAATAGAGATCAAAACATTACAACCATTACATTGATAAAAAGTATTTACATTGTATTTGAATCATTGTTTGACTCCAAAAGCATACAACAAAAATATAAGACCTAACAATGCTAATCTCTGTCTTCACAAAACCTCTTTGGTTACCTGTCTATTGACTCCCTGAGAATACAAGTGGTTTTGAAAAAGTGTCAACATTTAAGTTGGTGAGTTCATAAGCATTTTGTATGAGAAAGATATGTCTTTGTTCCTTGAAAATGATAATGTGTTCTTCCAGAAAATCCAATATTTTCTTTAGAAATGAATTGTGGTCTTAAATGTTACAAGACCGAAATGTACAAGTATTTTCCATACTTAAAATAGTAATATGTAGTTTTATTCATATATAAAACCATTTGTATGCATGTTTCCAGAAATGTAAATGATATTATATTGGAAAATAGTGTAGTGTAATAATATATGTGTAGAACCCTTTGAAAGTATGTATCTGAAACTACCAGTTTGTACTGTAGAATAGTGTAATGTAGTTTTATTATTAAATAAAACCATTTGAAGGTATGCTTTCCCCGTAAATCAAACGTTGTATTAATACTTATTGTGAGTGTTTATTATAACCATGCTAACGACTAGTGGCCTGTACGACGTTCTTCAGGCGTCAGAATGGTACGACATTTGTCACCCCAGACCTGCCGGTCCAACTGTAGCTAATAATTTAGGTGCGGGATTGTCAGTCCCGTATAGATCTATACACAAGTGCCATGCTCTCCCTACAAGAGACTCTGGTTATAATTCAGGACTTTAGTGTGTACTCTGGTAGGTACAATAAAGGTAATGGCTCACAATTCTGTATTAATACGTTTACGTATTGTGTAATGAAATCTTTTTTTCTTGTAACTGTATGTATTATCCTTTCATAGTGTTTACATAGCATAAAAATAATTATACTTTTAAAAGTAATTATTTTTATTGTTTCAAAAAGGGTAAAATAGTGTGAACGTTCCATAAACTATACCTATTATAGTTTATATAAATGTTTCGTTTTAGTCAAAACCCGGTATGTATCTGTTTCACAAATTTAGAAAATAAAACCATTTCATAAATTTAGTATTTTTGTATAAATGGAAAGAAAATGTATGTAATCGTCTCGTATTTTTAACACAAGTTTTCTTGTGTTTTACTTGTATTCCCCCTTCAAAACATAGGGAAATCGTGAAAACTATAGGGGTATGAACTCACCTCGGGTGTGTTCTTGGCTGGATAACGAAGCGAAAGTGATAATCTTCAAGTTAGAACACTTGAAAGTGGTCGTAATCCTAATAGTATTTAATCACATAATAAATGCGTAAATTAGATGAACTAATATGAAAGTGTTTATAAAAACACTAGATTATATATAGGGAATACTTACTAAGATTCCTAAGAATCAAGTGAGGAATTAATCTTCTGGGAATTGTTTGAAGGAGTTTCCTGGGAACTGTTTGAAGATGTTCTTGGGAACACTTGAAGATTTGAAGATGTATGTATGAATCTTGAGAGGAAACGTAAAGGATTATAAAGTTGAAATTGAGAAATGATGTGGTGATTTCGGTTTAGTATATAAATAGAGGGTAAGAATGAGGTGACATGTGCATTGAAATGTGTATTTATCACATTGGAAGAAGTGCCAACGGATAAGGTGGGTGATTTTGTCCTATCCCCACCGAAATCACGTTGATTTCGGTCCAAATGTGTAACCGAGAACCAAGTCTTCGGTCCAAGTGGTTCTCGGTGGAGGGATTTCGGTCAAAAAAGTGGTGTTCTCGGCCTAAGGGATTTCGGCCTAGGAAATGATTTTGATTCTCAAAACCGAAATCCTCAACAGTAATTTGAATTTTTATGATTTAATTTTTAACTATTGATTTTTCTTGGCACAATTGACCTTTGTTTGACTTTCTTTGACATTTATTGACCCGAATCAACCGGTTGTTATATATAATGTCTTTAGATATTCAATATAAATACTTTCACCTATTTATCATTGTCGTTAATGCAACAAAATACATTAGTTCCACTAATGTAGTGAACGGTAAGTTAAATTCA